GTTATTTGTCGATAAGACAAGGAGATCAGTGTGAGACTCAAGCTTGATTTTGATCTATATAGCTTGAGCCGCCGCCTGAGTTGTCGTGAGAGGCTCGTAAAGTACAATATATTCTCACGTCATGTATAATGAGTACGAGCTTGACATTACTTGATTCTGGCTATATGTTTATTCGTCGATGTCAGTGGGGGCAATGAGAAGATGACATATTTTTGGAGTTACACCGACATACTTTAACACGTATGTGCAACCGGAATCAAGAACTACGAATATGCCAATTGTTCATTTTCACTGAGAGCAAAAGATGGTTTGATACTTTATGCAGACCCAATAAATTCTATCTCATTTAACTTATTTTTCCGAGGGCAGTAGAGTGGACAAGTTTCCAATAATTCATATATAAGCTGTGATTGGAATAAGCATCATGTAATTAAAGCAGAACAATATCATTTGTTAGATGAGCTGCTCATACTTGGTATATAAACTGCCCAGTAACAAGATGAACCACTTAAAAAAATTAACGTGTTATGCCGACTTCACTATTGCTCACAAGCTCCAATCTCAAAATCACGCAAACAGTAAAAACATAAATTAATCTTAAGTTTCTTTGTAAGAAGAACACGATACACATTTAAAAACAGAACTCATATATTAGCGTCGTGCAAATGTGGCTGAGGGTAACAGTAGAAGTGACTATACGGCCGACGTTGCCCTCGGCTAACATGATATGCCCGCTAGTGCAGGCAACTCGAATTTCCTCCCTTGAAAGTGTAAACAAAACGTCTCAGACAAAGCCGTAGATAACATCAGAAGTTTAGATCTTGTACATCACATCAGCCTCTTTTGAATCTGCCTCGACAGTTTCATCAAATTCGCGAGAGAAAACGAACGCCAAGAAAAATAATATTGTCAACATTCGGGTAGACATCTGTAAACAACTTCCCAGTGTTCGCCAAGCAAATATTCGAGCATCTCTGATCTGTGGTGGGAGAATAGTATTTCTCTGCTTTGATATGAGCTTACAAACTGGTGTTGGTCTCGACAGCAACAAAAATAAATGAGCATTTTGTCATTTTTTTTTAAACTTTGTACCCCCAGCTCTGATATGCCCGTGTTGAACCAAACTGTCTAGGATGACCCGCACAAGTACATCGTTAATTGGATAAATTTCACAAGTTTGTAGTTGAGCCTTTGTCGATCATGAATTTATATAGGCCTGCAAGAATCTAGAGTGTAGCTTTATAGATGTTGCATGTACAAATATATAAATAATTTTGATTGACTAGCTGACTCTAATTGACATGCCGGGTAGTTCGATTCGTTTTAGCTATCGAGGAGAAATGCTTTGGAGTAAACATTCCGCAGTAGCAACGCGGGAACTCGTAGAACATTCTCTCAAGTAACGCGGGAACTCGTAGAACATTCTCTTAAGCAACGCGGGAACTCGTAGAACATTCTCTCAAGTAATGTGGGAACTCGTAGAACATTCTCTCAAGCAACGCGGGAACTCGTAGAACATTCTCTCAAGCAATGCGGGAACTCGTAGAACATTCTCTCAAGTAATGTGGGAACTCGTAGAACATTCTCTCAGGCAACGCGGGAACTCATAGAACAATCTCTCAAGCAACGTTGATACTCGTAGAACATTCTCTCAAGCAACGCGGGAACTCGTAGAACATTCTCTCAAGTAACGTGAGAACTCTCAAGCCTAAGTGAGTAACTAACGAATGAGTATGGAAAGTAACACAAGTAACACCCATAGTAGTTGGAGGTTTATTCTAGTGAGGTTGTAGAACATTTTCGATGTAACTCTCAAGCATAGGTGAGTTACTACTTACGAATGAACAAGGAAAGATACAATCGTATTAATTGGATATTTATTCCAATCTAAGCAGAGTTGTTCAGTGAGTTGCAACGATGAAACTTATCTTAAATATTATCCCACTAAGTAACCCTAAACCCTATGATAGAGGGATTCCGCAATTTCCCCTCGTAAAGAAGTTTTGTTAGGTTTAGGGTTATTGTGCTCCATGCAAAAGTCCTCAGGAATGCGAAGCTGGCTGGTGTGTGTAGAGTGTCTTGAGGAATGCATGTGTGAGGCTTGACACTGTGCAGTACAACATACGTGGTAACATCAACGTTAGTTCACAAACCAATTATGCTCTTCATAAATAAATCTGCTTTTCCAACGAAATATTTTCCCATATTACTTTTCATGGTCAAAATAATCATGGTTAAAATATTCATGGTCAAAATAATCATGGTCAAAATAATCAAAATAGAAATATTGAACAGGATAAGCCCATTACCGCTTATTTATATCAGACAAAGGCAGATAAGCGGACACATAATGAATGCGCGGGACCATTCAGGTGCAATAAGTGGCAGGCAGATTAGCTTGGCAAGCCGCCACCGGGAAATTCCCACGCCTGCGACTAAATTCCCATTGATTACTGTGACCCTGCGCTTAAAAATCCTATGAAATTCAATGGATCTGTGCTGGTTATTACATTAATGTGCTGCATGCAATTTTGTTGTTACTGACGCAGAGTTCACTAAACAAAAAGTCGTTTTAATTTTTGGTGAACAAAAAAATTCTTAGATTCGTTGAATGTGTCGGTAGCTCCCGTGAAATGAGGACACAATGCAGATCATCAAAATCTAATACGTGCTTTAAGATGGTGGGTCACAGGTGAATGAAGTTGTTTTCAAACTTCAAGACGTTAGGTAACCTTGAAACCAAAGCGTGTGTTTACTGAGAAAATCAAACGGAGCTGCTGATAATTTCAATATTTCTATTCAATTTTCAAACGTTAGTTGGATTACTAGCAACACCGGTAACACCAACAACTGCTGTAGCTCTCACGTCATCTAGAGGTGATAGTAGCGTTTATTAGAAGCAATACCTTCACCTCAACCCCTCATCACCACCACCACCACCATCACCACCACCAGCACCATCACCCCCACCACCACCACCACCACCATCAGCTGGGATTGTCCTGCATGGGCGTTGTGTGTGCGATACCTGACGGAGGTCACGCGGAGGCGCCCTCGGTGCCGCAGGGGCTGGTGAGGAGCAGGTGGTGTAGTTATTGAAGAGCTCGACTGACGTTCGATGCGAGATCACAATGATTTACTTGCAACTAATTTTTCATGTTTTATTCACAGACGAGTTAATATTTGAATTAGTTTTTTTTTTTCATCTTTTATCCACAGAAGACTTTAAATTTAACTTAATTTGTCACTTTTTATCCACAGAAGACCTAATATTTCTTGTGTAAACACAAGATTCCTTGTGGCTAGCGCTTTACGCATTACTCTACACAATTTCAAAGAATAAGAGGTGAGTTAAGTATCACATCAACATCAACATTCAACATTCAACATTCGCATCTTTTTTATTTACCATTACAAAATAGAATTTTGTTAGTTAGTCAATAATATTCAAAAATTATTGGCAACGTATAAACCCCAATAAAATCCTTGTCTTTGCTTACATGAACTTTTTGATTTACATTAAAGCCCTTAGGGAGCCCATCAAATATGGCATTAATGCACAATAAAAAAGGATGCAAAAAGTGAAGAACCCAGGACTTGCATACAAGAATTCAATCTTGAAACAACAGCTAATTTTGCCTTGAAATTAATCCCTAATAAACCTATGCCTCTTATCATAAATTTTACTGAAAGTATCAGAAGCAAATTATTTTAATCAAATACGTGCAGTTCTTCGGCGCAATAAAAAGGACCCGATCAAGTGAGCACAGCGCGATCGTAGCCTTGGGAACCAGTCGCCGGGCAGGTGCACTTTACAGCCCCAATAAATACCCAGAAAATAACCATAGTTGTAGGCGGCACCCACAAGTATCATGCACTAAAATATTTTATTTCCTTCTTAATAATTATAGGAAGTAATTGATCGGCTGCACCAATCGACCGCTGGTGGTAGTGATGAGCTTACGAAATACAAGCTTGTGACCCGATATAAAAAAAATACATTCGAAAATGATTTGTGGTAAAAACCTTACTCTGCAACATGCATTTCGCTTTCGCTCACTTTACGACTGTATTTCACTGTATTCATTTGAGTTAGGTAAATGGGACTAAATTATAGTTAAATAATTAGAGTACTTTATTAATCTAAATTAAATCCGGAGTTTTTAATGCATCATATATTTGCATAGCAGCCAATTAATTTAAACCTATTTTATAAAGCGACAAATAAAAGTCTCATCGGAAGCCACCCAACAAGAACTCGACCGCGGCGGTGAGAAGGAAGCTTGTGTCCTGTTCCCTTCGCCTTCACTTCCTTCGTCAGCGTGGCCAGAAAACTGGCTGGCATTCTAGATTTAATAAATTTTGTGAGGTTTTCGGTGTATTCACACCTCACACGCCCCTCTGAATATAATTTTATGTTCTCATATAATTGGTTATAAAACGAATGATTAGTCTGGAAAACACCGTTACCCACGTAATCAATAGGAAGATATTTACATATAATTAAGTCATAAATATCTGTTGGGTTATGCAATAGTTTCATATTATTTTTTTATATAAGAAAGTAATTTAGTATTATAAAGTGATGTTTGCAATGGTTAAAATTATTTGCATCTGAAGAGAAAAAAATTCTCAGGATATATTTTAACACCGGCAAGCTGATCTTAAAGTTAGGCGAACCATTTCTATACTTCTAGTACTTCTAGGAGACATAGCCGGAAGTTGCTAGGTACGTGATCTGTGTCGCTTCTTGTGGTTGTGAGAGGCTTTACCTGTTTTGTAGCAATAATATATTTATGGACAACATTAATATCGAATTTACTAAGTATCACATTTACTAAGTAAACTTGCTTAATTATTTGAAATATTACTACAAAGGATTTTCCCATATTTTAAATCTTGGTTGACATTAGTAGTGTATGTCTTGTCCAGTGTTGAAGTTTGGAGTCATTTAATTATTTAGAGTTCTGCACAGCCGGATGACATCGTGCGGATGAGACTTGAAACACGCTGTTCAGTGCCGGTCACGTATTCTTCGCCATGGCGAATTCTTTTTTTATTAACAAATTAGGGTCAATGCGAACGATTACCAGTTTCAAATACATGAAAATCAACGCTATGTCTTCTTGTTTGCGTCATTCTCGAAATTATACCAATTTAATGGGTAGGAATTTACCCAAAAAGTTTGAAATACTGCCCTCTGTGAACAAATCGTATTTTTCGAGTCTTGCTCGTGACACGCGACCGCTTGCAACTATTAGCCAACCATATAGCTTTGGATTCAATTTACTATCAAATAATCAAACAAAAAAACGTGTATCTGAAAGAACATATTGCTCACGCCCCAGCGATGATGATATACATCAACAACAAGAAGAAATGGAATTTGACAACTTACCTGTGCCTCTGACAGTTCCTGCACATTGGCCCAATGTTCCTGTGATTGCTATTAGCAGGAATCCTGTATTTCCAAGATTTATCAAAATCATTGAGGTAAGTATTATGAAGAAGTATTAGATTAATTTTATCCAATAGTTATCATTTATCAATAATACTTCATCATATAATTCATATTTGCCTAAAACTACCTAAATGGCCAATCCCACACTCAGGATGATGTATGTTTTCGGTGAATTTTCCCGCGTATTTTCACTTTTTTTAATCTATTGCTGTGCACAGTTCGCGCAATGTAATGAAAATTGATTCACTTGGCGCACGTGTTCGCGCAATCCCGGCCATCAATTCTACGTCACGCTGCCGAGTACGAGCAGTTTGTGGAGGAACAGACGTAAGCCGCAGTTTACGATTACCGTACGTTCCGTATCCGCCAAGCGGAACGCGGAAGACGCGCTGCCGCGTACGAGCAGTTTGTGGAGGAACAGACGTAAGCCGCAGTTTACGATTACCGTACGTTCCATATCCGACAAGCAGAACGCGGAAGAGTCAGAAGTAACCCGGACATGTCTTACATTTTCTTATTGTCAGTTTGACTCGCGTAGTCAATATACTCGCATATATTGTCGACTTTCTAAAGTACGGCGCACGGCGCATTTTTTTACCAGCATTGTACGGCGCACCGCGCAGGTCGTTAAAATGACAAAAAAAATTCCCGCGCACCTGGCACATCTTCCTGACCATGGGGCCAATCGTGCATCGGTATTATTGCAGATTAACTACATCAAAAAAAAAGGGGGGTTTTTTTTTTGAATTATATGTTTTTTGGGGTGTAGATTACGAATCTGAAATCCATTTTTGGCGGTCGGCATCGGAAAACCGATTTTTTTCGCGACTTACTAACATGGGGGTTACGTAACTTACGTTACCCACTCACCTTTATTTACTAACATGGGGGTTACGTAACTTACGTTACCCACTCACCTTTATTTACTAACATGGGGGTTACGTAACTTACGTTACCCACTCACCTTTATATAAAGGGTCGGATTGTTCATCGAAATTTTACAAAAAGCTCTTAGGTTGGGTTAAGTCAGCCAAGTTCCTTTTTTTAGATAGCATTTTGATCTAAAAGGAACCTGGGCGAACCAACCCAACCTGCGAGTTGGCGTTAGGTTGTGATCTCTCGATGTGGCAATGTATCTCCAGATTTATGGACAAAGAAGACGAAAATGTTACCCGTTGCACTGCAACGGGTAACATTTTCGTCCAATTTTTTGCCGATTTCGCAGATTTTAGGCATTTTTAGCGCGATTTTTGGGTCGGAAAAAAATCGGTTTTCCGATGCCGACCGCCAAAAATGGATTTCAGATTCGTAATCTACACCCCAAAAAACATATAATTCAAAAAAAAAAAAAACACCCTTTTTTTTGGATGTAGTTAATCTGCAATAATACCCGTGCATCTTATGATCTTGGCAACACAATTAAAAAATGTTCCATAGAGCAGAAGCAAATTAGACATAGATACTAGATGAAATATTTCCTGTCTAATTATTGACAAAGCTACAATTTCTACAAAATGTAGAGTAACGAGATTCCAAAATTAGGTATTTAAAATTTGTATAGCTGAGGCTGCAAGATTTCAATTATAAATAGAAAAATTCTACACTTGTATTCATATTAGCCTTAAAATCAATGCCTTTGGAGTTTGGACTGCTTTATATGTACTGTTAGCATGAAATCCTCCAGTTTCTGTCTTTCTGATGAATCTGGGCCCTGGGCCTGGGCAGTCAGCAGTGGGCAATAAATTCTTAATAATACTGGCAAGTCTGGGCTCTGGCAACATTTGGTTCTAAAATCCTGATCTTGTTAACTTGATAAGACAATTGCTAAACAGAACTCCTTCTGTTTGATATCAGGTTTATATTGCCAGTTTAATTAAAATTTGTTCTCCAAAACTTCTTCAAACTTTAATAATACCTGCCAAAAAGACATGCTAAAAGGTATTTGAAGACAAAAGTGTCTTGCTAAATTTGGTTCAGATACTCCAACAGCTATTCCCCTTTCTAATCTAATCTAACTGACAGAACGCAAAATGACTCTAATCTTCAAGATCATTTATAAATTAATAAAAGCAACATTCTTCCTTAAACAGACACTGGTATGCACAGAAAAACTTTCGCAAATAATAATTATGACCTCAGTTACACGTATTTCTTCGTAAAATTTACCGCTTTTTGCTTTTAATTTGTAAATGTTTTGTTGACAGGTACAATGGTGAGCTGTATTGCACTTTACGATTGTTTATACAAGTTTTAAACTAAAATACTCAGTAAAATTAAAAAATAATATAAAAAAAATAAAGGCCGATGTCTATTATTAAATTTTATAAGAAATTATTTAAACATTGCCTATGGCACGTTTCAACTTATAAAAATAGAAAAAGCCACTCTAATGACACTTCAATGGTAGAAGATTATTGACACCACTTAAAGTGAATAAGAGGAAGCAACTCGACGATCGAGTTCTCTTAAAAAAAATGAAAACGATTTTTCATGTGAGAATTACATTATTCCATTACATTTTAAATAATCTCCTTAGATTTTTTATATAATGATGGTAATTAATGACTACCGTAAAATGGGGTAACTTAGACTGGCGGGGTAACTTAGACCACTTTTCGTTCTGTCTCTTATACACATCTAGATGTGTATAAGAGACAGGTGCCATGTTGTTAATAATATNTATAACTGTTGTGATAAAATTATTAAACGAGAGAATTATGAACAAATAAAAATTAGGAAGGAAAAAAACACTTGAATTGCTTAATGAGTTTTTAATTTAAATAGCAATGAGTTGTTGGGCTTAGGTTATAATTTTTGCATCTATATATTTTCACCCTATCGTTGTATGAACCATGACTATTTAGATTGATTGACACATTATTTTGTTGCAGAATGGCAGCCGATAATCAATATACATAGGAGATAAAATGTATGTTTTGAAAGCGAAAATATTGATATAAATTTCAGGCTTGCGACTGAATTTAAGGCTTTCAACCCTTTTAACACGTGCGAAATTGTGTTGTCTACCTTATTGTCCTTTGTTTATAGTCCATTACATCTATAGTCCGCAACTGACGTGTAATTAATTCACCTAACAGGTTTGAAGTGTTTTGACTGCTAAGTGCTGTTCAGCCTGTTATTACTCCGATCTCCAGTTTCTCCTCGAATGGATTACTGATAACTGACTAAACTAGTCTTCATTTTCTGAGCATAGTAACTTAGTAAGTAATATTTATTCGTGAATCGTGATCATTCCTGATTCTATGCATAATCTACTCTCATATCTCCTGTAAATGGCTCCGTCTCGTAGCAGTTCTCCCCTTCTTGGCAATAATTGACCGATTTCTGCTTTCAGTGCACCATTCTGAAAAAAATTAAATTAGGATCAGTTTGTTGATGAAAAACCTAGAAACCTAGCAGGAAGCAAAAAACCTAGATCTAGGTTTTTTTGCTCCGGAGTGCCACAGTGTGCCTGCTGGAGTGCTGGGGCTAAATGCCCAAGGGTTTACTCAAAAACCACCATGGTTGAGGGTACAAGTTTTTTAACTGCATACTTCCAAGTCCTATATTAGGGACTTTTTTCAACACAAAACTTTGCCCACTGGTCATAACCTCCTCTACTTTATACAGATACCCAATAATGGTTGTAGAAAGTATGTAATTTTTAACCAATTTCTTCTAAATTGTTATATTTTGAGAAAACATCAATCAACCTTTTTTCCAGATCACTGATGCTGATCTCATAGCCATCATCAGAAGGAAAGTGAAACTAAACCAACCTTATGCAGGTGTCTTCATGAAAAGAGATGAAAAGTAAGTTCTAATCAATTGCTGTCTTTGTTGGGCTTTGATAAGAAGTGTCTGTCTATATTACTATAAACCTCTACTTAGATGCTATCTACCATATTAACTGTGTGGCCTTATTATTTATAATAGTGGCCTTATTATTTATAATTTTTTTTTCTTTTAATTCTTATTAACTTTCATTTTTTGCAGCAATGATGATGGAGTGGTTCAAAATCTCTCTGATTTGTATCCTGTTGGAACCTTTGTCCAAATTCATGAGTTACAAGATATGGGCAACAAACTGCGCATCATTGTTATGGCTCATCGGAGAATTTCAATTGTTGAAAAATTGTCAGAGGAAGACATGATGAATGATAATGCAAGTAAGTTACCTTCTTTTTTATTTCACTAATAATTAACCATTAATTGCAGCTGATAATTTTTATTCATAACTAATACTAGTTCATCAAGTGGTTGAAACATGTGTGTTCCATCAACTTAGTTTCTCTCAAGTATCTAAAAAGTTTATTGAAGAATATTTATAAATTTCTTTGCTGATGAATCAAACAAAGCCAAATTATGATCAATGTATCAGCATGTTATTTGTATAGATAGTGTAATTCATTCATTTTAATTCATGATCTGTGATGTTTCTCAGACACCCTGAGGGTGAAACTGAACATTCCTGGCTTCAATGCATCGTTCCATGTCGAATTGGAAGATGCCACAAATTCTCATGCTCCTATATCTTCATCTTACTCTGACTCCACTTCTCCTGCTGATGATCAAGTGCCAAGCTTATCATCCACTTCCACTACAGGCGCTGCAGTTCATTCCACTAGAAGAAGTCGGAAGAAACGAAAGCCAAGAAATGGAGAAAACGAACCTGAGTTGGTACCCAATACTGCTGGCAACCCCATGCAAGGAGAAACGTCATCTGCTGCAGCTGATATTCAGGTTTGATATCTGTTGAATTCATTTAAGAAATTTCCTAAGCATATGAATTCTATATTCTACAAACATCCAAAAGTTTTTTCAGCATCTGCATCATCTGATATGCCATAAAATAGGGTAACTTAGACCACTTTTTTATAAATGATGCCATTTTTTTTACTAGCTAAATTAAACTCGTATTGAAACATGCAAAATACAGGTCTATACTCTAGCTTCACTCACCATAAATTGCTGGCTCCTGCCTCTCATAGTCTTTATGTAATTTCAAAAAAGTGATGGTCTTTGTTACCCCAGCTCTTGGGGTAACTTAGACCGGGTGGTAAAATCAATTATAACAAGTTGTATGAACTAAAATTGAAAACGACTTTATCAGGGTTACAAGGTTGGATTTCATTATGGATACCAAGGTTGCTGAGTTTCTTCTGATGGGTCTGACTCGTAGTTTTCTTGAATTCTTCGGTTAGACGTCTGACATGTTGACGGATTGCGAAGGCAATCCGTCAAGAGATCAAGAAATGTGCGAGAATCTTTAACTCAAAGAACTGTTCCAGTACAAGGGAACGCAATAATGTAGAATAACCTACGTGATAGTAAAAGATCCTGCGTTCACTATTCCACAGAATAGTGAAACTGACTAATGCTTCGGCATCTTTGTCTTTTACCTTTGCTAAAAATTAAAACTCGAACAGTGTTGGTGCCTTGGGTTTTTCATTTTTTGTACTTCTATTTGTCGATTTGAAATAATTTATCAAAGATATCTTTATAAACAATTTTTAAAAATATTCTCCTGTATTCTTCGTCGTTGAAAAAATTGGTCAAACTGCAAGAGTTTCCATTGAGTGGAGCCTTCAACTGGATAATGAAAAAATCAGATGAGGAAAATATCTTCTTCCCAACCAAACTGGAAAAATGTGCTGAAGACACCCATGCGATAATCCAGAACCACCTGTAGCCATGGACTATTTCACCCGTTCCAGTGGTAAAGTTATAACTTTAGGGATGGTGGTTACTACATTAACCATGGATTATCTAAATATTTTGCTAGTTCCAAAAATATAGCTGATCTAGTGGTATTGGGAAGATCCAGTTTCAAGTCTTCTGATCCAAAATAGACGGATCTCATATGTTAAACCTTCTAATTTCAGGTTTATGGGGCCTTTGCTTAGTTTGCGTTGCGAAAATGAGAAATGGTGCATTTTACCAGCGATTTACAAAATCGATCTCTAAACGATTACTTTCACGCAAAATTTTCTCAAAATCTGATTGATATTACGGATTTTCTATAAGAGCGATGACTGATATTTATCCGTCAACATCATAGTCATGATATTTCCGTTTTACATATTACGGAATCTTATCGAATTGAAAATGAAACCGTTAGAGTGAGACGTAAGACATGATAACCGCAAGATATAATTAAAAATTCAGGTTTTCCGATCGTGTGTTACTAAAGGAGAGGGTCTACCCCAAAAATTGAACATAAAATTTTTTCATATTCTGATCTCATTTTTGTAGCTGTGAATAAGTCGCGTCTAACGCAGCAGGGGGCTTTAGTTCGAGCATGAGGTAGTTTCTAGCGTGTAAAAAATTGAACATTTCCTCACAATCGGCACCAAGATCTTTCTGAGAAAAAAATCGTAGACACAACGCAAAATGGGTTATGGAAAGATATTGACTTTAGATTTCGTTTGAAAAACTGCCAATTTTGTTTTATGTGTAAATGCTGGAATGTAACAATACCGACGAAAAATCTGCGTTATTTAGGGATATTGCTGGCGTTAGGAGGACTGGACGACCCACAAGAAATGTATTTTCCATCATCCTAACTCCTAAAATGTAATATTTTTATGTTTAAGAAATGGTTTAGAGGGTGATTTTATACACCCAAAAGTCGCCTTATCAATATAGGTGCGTGTGGATCTCAATCCGACTCGATTTTGTGGGGTTAATGGAACATGTAGCCTGCACACCGCTAAGTGCTCAAGTTCTAGAGTCTATTAAGTTTTTCAATGTCATGATCATTTTACTTCATCTATACAAGTTAGGTGACAGAGTTGATGTAAACATAGAAAAACGCCAATGTGGGCAACGATGTCGATTAGTGTGGGTGACTGCAGAACGCGGAAGATCTGACCACTCGAAGATTTGGAAGTGAAATTTCCCTAAACAATCTATGCAGATGCACGGCGAACTATCGACTGTAGGTTTATTGTTGCAGATCGAAGTATATGAGAGTAGGCAACTTTTCAGAGCAAACAAAAATTCATGCGCAAACTTATCGGTTGGCTATTCTATGTAATAGAATAATGAATCGGAAATTGATATATACTTTAATTTATAATTAAAGGGAATCATGACTGTGTGATGAACTCATATTAACTATTAAATGTCAATTGGATATGATTCGTCATTGACGCAGTTTAAAATAAATGGTCCTTCAATCATTCTCATTCAGTTCACTATTATGGTTTTATCAAGTTTGAACGATTTCCCAGTTTAAACGCTTCCGCAAAGATGAACGTTTAAGCAATACTATACGTTAATAATGTTCAGGAGATATCTCTTAGTTTGCCTGAAAATTTTTCCTAACATGAGTGTAGAGAAAACTTTTTTACTTGCATCTTATTAAATGATATAAATCTCCTGCTATCGACTATAAGTTGTTAGAAGAAACTGCTTCAAAACATAGCAATATATATATTTAAAAAGATCCCGTCACAATCTTCTTCATAGTTCATATTCAAAACCTTTTATACAGCTGCTTTAGCGAGTTCCATTAATCATGACAAATTTGCCTCAATTTTTCAACGAGGCTGATATGAGGCAATAAAAATAATAAAGAAAAAAATTGCGATGTAAATTGATCGGCTCTATTATAAAATTCATATTAGCTAGAAAACTAACTTATAAATAAATTCAGGATTTATGGAAGTAACGGCATTTCGCTTGCCCGAATAACATGAAAGGTGGTAAGAGAAACAGCGCTTGTCTGTCTCCTTTAATAAACGATATTGACCACGAACATTTTTACCCAATCCAATACGAGTAATATTCTTTTTTTCGATTGAATAGAAGCTGCGTTCATTCCTCTAAAACAAATATAAATGAATAATCTCTAAACATTTCCACCCCAAATGTGGCTATTCCTCGATTTACCTGACCATTGCAAGCCATTCGTTTTGCAGTTACAGTATGTAGTTGACAGAGCTCAGTATGGTAAGTTGTCTATGTGAGCAAGCTGGCTGATGCGTGAACTCGGACGCGAAATTCCGCGTTCGAATCTCGGAGCTTCCGTCGACGTTTATCCGGTAAGGGCACTTAGCGGTGAATTACTCGTAACTTCTCTGCATTATTAGTAATTGAAATTTGATAGTTTGTAATTGATATCGCAAGTGTATATACGATGTGCATGTTCGACAGCGAAGACTATCTAATTTGACATGTCATAGTAAAGAGTAACTTGTCGTTAATCTCGGAGAAAGAGAGAGAAAAAATAATTTTAAATATGTTTTTGCGTAATCGACAAACGGTCAAACTCAACTAACGGGCATTTGACAATTAATATGGATTCGACATCGATTAATGTAGATTCGACGTAGATCATTGATGATTCGACATCGATTAATGCAGATTCGGCTCCAGCTACTGTAGATTCGAAATCGTTCGATGCAGATTAGACGACTCAACAAATTATCGGGTGCAGAATTTTTGAAGATCTGTGCTGAATCAACATAGAATGCTCCTCTTTAATCGATGGTGCACCCCGCGACATTGCCCCCCAACAGTCCCAATCCAAATTGGGTTTTGCCTTCGTCGATCGAGCAGGAATCTGCATCAATATTTTTGATCAAACCACATCAATCTCTGTCGATCGATCAAGACCTGTTTGGCTGGGCAGTGACAACAGCGTCCCGTTGAGGCTGAAGCTGCGTCTTATTGAGGACCTTGACGTTAAAGTAGGCAATAGAAACAACGCGTGAAAGCAATACATATATTTTGGGTACAATTTGAATCCAAGACCGTCAAATTCAACCGAGAAAGCTTACCGGGGTGGAATATTCGTAGGGTCTTGACTCGATTACATGAAAAAACATGGCGAGCAGAACATGAGTGCGTGAGTAATGCCCCGCCTAATCTGTTGTCGAGCGTGCCATGGCGTGGCGGGCAGATCATGAGTAGGTGAGTAATGCCCCGCCTGATCTGTTCACCAGCGCGCGATGGCGTGGTGGGCAGAATATAAGTACGTGAGTAATGCCCCGCCTGATCTGTTCACCAGCGCGCGATGGCGCGGTGGGCAGAATATAAGTACGTGAGTAATGCCCCGCCTGATCTGTTCAACAGCGCGCGATGGCGCGGTGGGCAGAATATAAGTACGTGAGAAATGCCCCGCCTGATCTGTAGACCAGCGGGGAATGCGGAGGAGCTTGGTAACACCGGCACGTCAAAAAAATTGAAGGACCCCCTTCTACGGCTCCGAAAACAACACAATTATCATTATGAGGCTTGAACCCCACAACAAGGTAATGCAGGGAAAAAATTCCAGCGAGGGACCGGAGTTTTCATAGTAGCATGATGAATAAATTCCTAAACTTCAACATTTTAACTAAGTTTCTTCCGTAGCACAGGCTCACAATATAAGATACGTGAATTCTAAACTATCGTCAACACGAACACAGACTGAGCAAGGAGTTCAGTAAATTCCTAGAAGACATAATATAATTGAAAATCAAATTATGAGAGATCTGGTCTATTCAGAACGCAAAAGTTTTATTTTTTACTCATGCGCAATTCGAATAGTGGGTATTACATCTGTCTGTCATAGTCTATCAGATTCTACTAACAGAATAATTCAGGTTGAGGCTGACAGAAGATCAAATTACGAGGAGCAAAATTTACGTACAACTGATCGGTTTATTTTTTCTGAGCAAAGTGTTCAATGCGACAATATTACTTCAGACAAAAAAGTAACAGCACTCTTGCGTAGCATCACCACTTCACATAGCTAAAGT